TTCAGTGAGTGTTTTCGCCGAAGATTGCCCACTAGCCTGCCTGGGGAGTTTTGATGCAAGCTTCAGTGAGTGTTTTCGCCGAAGATTGCCCACTAGGCTGCCTGGGGAGTTTTGATGCAAGCTTCAGTGAGTGTTTTCGCCGAAGATTGCCCACGAGGCTGCCTGGGGAGTTTTGATGCAAGCTTCAGTGAGTGTTTTCGCCGAAGATTGCCCACTAGGCTGCCTGGGGAGTTTTTGATGCAAGCTTCAGTGAGTGTTTTCGCCGAAGATTGCCCACCAGGCTGCCTGGGGAGTTTTTGATGCAAGCTTCAGTGAGTGTTTTCGCCGAAGATTGCCCACTAGCCTGCCTGGGGAGTTTTGATGCAAGCTTCAGTGGAGTTTGTCGCCGAAGATTGCCCACTAGCCTGCCTGGGGAGTTTTGATGCAAGCTTCAGTGAGTGTTGTCGCCGAAGATTGCCCACTAGGCTGCCTGGGGAGTTTTTGATGCAAGCTTCAGTGAGTGTTGTCGCCGAAGATTGCCCACTAGGCTGCCTGGGGAGTTTTTGATGCAAGCTTCAGTGAGTGTTGTCGCCGAAGATTGCCCACTAGGCTGCCTGGGGAGTTTTTGATGCAAGCTTCAGTGAGTGTTGTCGCCGAAGATTGCCCACTAGGCTGCCTGGGGAGTTTTTGATGCAAGCTTCAGTGAGTGTTGTCGCCGAAGATTGCCCACTAGGCTGCCTGGGGAGTTTTTGATGCAAGCTTCAGTGAGTCGCACCGAGAATCCTAGCTGGCTTTGCCGTTGGTGCAGAGTTTGCCCTTTGCAAAGTTCGAGCCTTGGAATGTCGAGCCGGGCGAGGGACCACCGCCCGGCACTTTTGCATGGCTCTTGCCATTCTCCCTGACTTCTGTGGGGCGCCAAAGTCTGTAAGAATTCAGTGGCCATCGGGCCGGCCTTGCCTTAAAAGCCTTTGGGCGCGGATCCGCTGGGCCGATCTGCGAAGGATCAAGATCGAGCAGTCGCAGCTCACAGGGGAGTCCCAGAGTGTCTCCAAGGACGCGCCGAGAGATTTCGGCGGCCTGTTGTTTTGTAAACTCGGTCCCGCGGCTAGGTGCCCTTTTACCGTTTCTATTTTTGGGGGAGGGTTCCCCTATTAACATAGACTACAGAAGAAAAAAAAGCTCGGCTACCAACCTATTCGATCCTCTCTGCTGGAGGAGCTAGTAAAGGAACGCCTTGCAGGCCCGAAGGCCCTAAAGGGTCGAGGAATGCAGCCGGGCCTGGGGTTCGTATTGGAGCACCCAGATTTCTTCCAAACCAGGACGCTGAATCAAGGATCCGGGGATGGTTTAAACAAAAGGAGAAATGCAGGGGCTACTTCTAGCTGAGGTTCACTGCATCCTTGGTCTCAACCTGGTGTGTTTAATTGGCCATGGCTTTGCGGAACTTGCGGAAGGTTCTTGAAAGTTAAGTCCGCCCAGAGGGCGGATTTCCACCTCAAAGTGAAGTCCTCCCAGAGGGCGGATTTTCACCTCACTTCCTGAGTTCCGTTTCGGACTTTAATTTGGCAAGCAACATGCGAACAATAAGTTTTGTCAGTTTTCTGGCCAATTCACGCAGGAAGTGAGCCACCAACCTGCCCCTTTCAGCACAAACGCCATCAGGCAGTTCAGGCCTTCCTGGCATTGGGTCAAGCTACGTTCGCGCAGGAGATCGAGCCCCTTGCCCAAAACGAGGGCAAGGAGTGGGTTATCCAGGACGCGGATGGGGGCCTCAAGTCGGGTCCAGGGAGTCCAACCTCTTGACCCCTTGGGCACGTCGCATGGCTTACGATTAAAAAAACAAAAAAAATGCGAGTGCTGCTTCAAGGGAGGGACAACCCGCCAACAAATGCGCAGCTCGTGCCAAAAAAAGGCCGTGCTGGGCGACTGGCTGCATGGAGCTTTTGCAGCGGCTGTCGGAGCTCATTGGAATATTTGGGAAGGTTGGGAAGTTGAATACCATTCTTCACGTGAATCACACACTACAGTGGATGTAAGGAAGCAAAGCTGGTCAGACAGCTGTCTACTTCTCCAGATTTGTATCATCAATTCGTGCATATTGTTGAATCGGGATTCGAGGAACGTTGGCATGGCGCAATCATTTGGGAACCACTGAACTACCTTCAGAGACACCTGCAAGAGTGGTTTGGGTTAGATAGGTCGGTACTTTGGTACTGCTTCGCTGCAGGAGAAGTACAACATGCTTTTCTCCTCGACCACAGTCTCCAACGGCTCCTGCGATGCCGTGGTCGTGGCAACAGGGATGACGACAGAGATCGGCAAAATTCAGGCCAGGACAAGCACGGCAAGAAGACAGCCCTTGGATTGTTGTGGCGTTTTTCCGGATGCCATGCCAGCCAGTCAGGTTGGCCAGGGCATCAACGACACTTCTGGTTTGGGAAGCAATTTGACTACTGGAGGAAGCGCAGCCTGCCAGCAGGTGCTGTGAACCTTTGAACTGAGATTACAAGACTAGGCATCAGCTATCCCACGACAATTTGCAAGACGTGTTTTACGGGTAGGTCGTGCAGACGGGTCAGAACGGCAACGCTGTGTGCCCACAACAGCCATGGTTCTTTGCCGCTTCCCAGAATGGTCGCACAAAGCCGGCATTGCGAGGTATTTGTCACATGGTGCGCTTTCGAAACGTGTTGTTTCGCCAGTTGCATGCCTTGGATTCTTGCATGATTTGGCTTGGGCATCGCTCACCATGCAAATCTACCCCTAGCTCTCAGCTTGTTGGTGGGTGCCTTTCTGAGTGGCTGGCAACTTTCCTTCGCTTTGACATGACTCCCGGCCTCAACGGGCGACCCATCAAGTAAAACCCTGAAACTCTGATTTGGCCTGGTCGGAGGTTTCCTTGGCCCGATGGTTTAGTGTTACCCTCTCCCTCTTATTGGCAGGTTGGTCGCACAACGTTTCCCAGAAACAAAACCAAACAAACAAAAGGTTGCGGCGTGAGGATATGTCAGGGTTCACTGCCAGCATGTGGCTGTGGGTCAAAACCAATGGTACCATTTTGGGGTAGGTGCACCACCCGTTTTATTTTTTTTTGGTGGGGATTGGGATGTTCACTGGGGGTACGATTTGGATTTTGACCCACGGCCATATTGTGAAGCAAGATTCTTGTCAGGCGGCTGTCACAAAGGCCGGCGAGGAGGAGGAACAGACCCCCTTGCAGCAGAAATTGGAGGAGCCTTGGGCATGTGTTGGGCTGTGTCAAAAATAGGGTAACCACAAAATGGCTTGCCCTGGTAAGTGGCAACATGGACCAAAACCGTGCTTGAATTTTGACCCACACCCGTTTGAGAGCATCTGGAAACGAGGCATTTGTCCATGTTTGCATGGGCGAGTTAACGGTTGGCTGCTTGAGTTGTGCGATGAACCCGGGACAGCCGCATATGTTTCTGCCGCCTGAATCGACGTTGCATTCATGCCGGCGACGGACAGTGGCTTCGAAGTCTTTGATCTTATTTGCCAAACACCGCTTTGGCCATGTGCATTCGCAGGCTTCAAGCAAGCCATCTTTTGCCCTGTCCAAGGAATTCGGAAACTTACTGGCCAAGATGATCGGCGTGATTTGCTTGTTGGTCTGGCTAATCAACTGCAAGCCGCTTGGATTTGCTTATCGAATAATGCGCTCTCGCTTTGTATGTCCTTCTCTTTTGCCTCTTCTCCGGGTTTTTGCCCCTCGTCTTTCTTTTCTCTTCTCTGCCACCTTTACTGCAAACAGGGGACGCTCTGAAGGCCCCCTGCAGCAGACCAAATGCAAGCTCTCGTACACACCAAGTTTCTTTCAGTTGTGGCGGGCTTCCTTCATCAACAGCCTCTTGTGGCTAGCAATCAGCGCAGCTGCCAAGTGTTTTCTTTGCTTGGGATTTTCGTGCTTCAGTCAAGTCGAAGCCCTGCGATTCCTCAGCGGGCGTTTTCAACGCCTTGTGCTGAGGCATTTTTTCGATCCAGTGCATGGATCCGTGCTGAAAGGGCCTGAGACTCAGAGCACGAATGACGCGCGAATGACGCGGCGTTCCTCCGGGGGGTGAGAGGCGAGGTCCCCCGGCTAGGTGCCCTTTTACCGTTTCTTTTTTGGGGAGGGTTCTCCTACTGAAGTACACCACCGAGAGAAAAAAAAAGAGAACGAACAAAAAGGGGACAAGCGGTACCCTTATTGTAACATCCGTCACCCTCAACCTCGGCATGGAGCATCGGCAGACAGGAACAAACAGCAACAATGAAGCGCGAGAAAGACGCGTCCCGAGCCAGGACGCCAGTTCAATCAAGCTCTTTCTCGGGGCCATCCAAATAAAGTAAAGGACTTTCCTTTTTGTTTTTTAGTCATGCAGCGCTGCATGGTAGAGCTGCACACAAGCAAACATTTGCCAGCGTTTGCAACTTTTCGGGTATGTCTCTCCAGACCTGCTGAAGATGTTCGCATTTGTCCACACAGTTTCAGTTTGATTCTATGCTATTCAGCGTTTTGCCCTACCCAAACCCCCAAAGGGTTGGGTTGAAGCCGACTGCTTGGTTTTTTTGAGCCTCACGCGTAGTGAAGGGCAGGTAGCTGTCCGGTTCCATGATGGCTCCATTGCCGGTTCTGTGCGCGTGGTTGGATTTGCTCTCCTCGTGGTATTTGGCAAGACCCGCATTCCGAATTCCTTTTTTGCCAGATGGGGCCTGGTTCAGACCGGATGGGCTTACTGGGCCCCAAACCAGGGTCCGCATCATCCGCATTGACTTGCGACACTCGTTCAATCCTTATTTTCTGGCGGATGTCGCGAGAGATTCGCAAAGTTTCGGCCAAAGGCACTGTAGCCTGTCTCGTGCCAAGGTGCATCTACTACTTCAAGATTGCCGTGGCATTGGCTGTGGCGGCCATTCCGGAAGGACGGGTCCAGCAGCGTCTTGTTTTCAGGGAAAATGTGTCGTAACATCCTCAGGGCACCTCAGGGCCGAAAGCTTGCACCAAGGTGGAGTCGTTCGACTCGGAAAGGAAGGCTCCAAAGCGCATGCTGCTGCTGACAGGGAGGTAATGGCAACATGCATGTTTGACTGTAGATTTCCTGATTTCCTTGAGCTTTATTGGCAGTCAGTCCCATAATATGCGCGGTTGAACTAGTTGTTACACGCCTCGTGTTTGGATGTCCAACTCTTGAATCGTTGCCTTCACCTGGTGTACGTCACATGTTTCAAGTGGCAGGGATAAATGTTGAACAGTTCGCGGAAATCACAATTTCTTTCAGCCCCAGTTTTCTGAGCGAATGTCGTGATTAAACAAATAAGTGCTTGTTGCCCCCCGAACATGAAGTATTTGGCGAGAATTCGCACCCGAAACCCAAAGGGACGGGAACGAGCACTTGGCCCTACCTTTAGCTGGAGAGGTGTCAAACTGGGTGCAGGGGGCCCGCGCTACATGGGCGTCAACCCCAAAGCAGGTTTCAAAAGGCGGTTGGCCGATGCACAAGCGTGGTTGTTTTTCGACCTTCACTTTCGTCCTCAGCGAGCCTGTTAGCCACCGTTTGCTTACAACACGCCAGGCCCACCAAACGGCAAGGCCAAAAGAGTACTTGCTCGATGGTTTGTACACTGGCATTCCAGGTGCAACCTTCATGGTAGTTTTTCCTCATTTTCTTATGAATGGAGGGTGTTGTTTCCATAGGTGTCCTTTTTAGGTTATTTTACAACGAAACAGATGGCACTGGTTTAGATGGGTGTGATTTCATTTCCCAGGGCCATCTATTTGTCCAAAAGGTCACCTATGGTTGCTTCTTGTTGAGTGCAGTCGGAAGGAATCCCTGGAGTCCTTTTTGGTTGTTTTGGTCGAAAAATAGATGGCGAATCCTGGTTTACCTGGTGGTTTAATCATCTACCAGGGAAACCCATCTATTTGCCCTAAAAGGACACCTACGCTTGCACATTCCATCTCGTGCGCTTTTTCTTTTTGGGTCTCCGCGAGGACTTCCGGCGGTGATCACCACCTGCCTGGCCTTAGGCACACGTCAGATGGCCAAGAGGAACGCCATCGTGCGGAAGCTGCCGTCCGTGGAGACTTTAGGCGCCCGAAACGATGCGCCCAACCCATGCGCCAAGGTGTTTTTTTGTTCTCGTTTTATGTTCTGAATGAAGGGGGGTTGTAGGATTTTGTTTGTTCGGATGGAGATTTGTTTTTTGCTTCTCGGATAGGGGGTGGTAGGTTTGTTTGGTCTGATGGCTGTTGTTGTTTTTTCTTTTCTTTTTTTCGGATAATAGGGGGGTTGCAGGTGTCTTTTTCTGAGAAGTGGGTTGTCGGGTTTTGTTGCTGAGCTTGGCTTCCGACAGCCATACTTCCATGTGCTTCATTGTCGTTTTTCCCTTGCTGGTTTGAAAGGGAATCTATCACTCATGGGCATATGGCTGTGGGTCAAAACCAATGATACCATGTTGGGGTGGGTGCACCACCCATTTTAGTCTATTTTAGCGGGGATTGGGATGTTCACTGGGGGTACGGGATATTGACCCATGGGCAGATGTTCGCATCTTCTCCAGGGGGCGAAAACGCAAATGGTAGCATGGCAGATGTTCGCCTCTGGGCCACTCTTTTGTGCGCCAGGCTGCACCACGGTGATTTGCTCAGACAAGACGGGCACTCTGACCACGAACGAGATGTGCGTGGTGAAGCTCGCCTTGCCTGAGGGCGGCGCTATGAAGGCCACTTTGGAAGTTTCCACCTCCGCTACTTCCCCGGATTCAGCTCGCTTTTTGACGTGTTTCGCTTTTTTTGGGCCCTTTGCTTTCCGCTAACCAGGCAACTATATATATATATGTATATATTAATAAATATATATATATATATGTCATATATATATATATATAGATTTAGGATTTTTGGGCTGGGGTCCTAATGGCAATCATCCTTTGGATTCTGTGGTTGTCTCTTGTTGACTGGGCACGAGCTTTGAATACTTGAGCGGCATGGCCCTTGTTGCAATCAGGTCAGCATCCAGCCATGGCCGGCAAACAAGACCAGTATGGCTAGGTGTCCTTGTTGCCGAACGCTATTTGCATAGCTCGCTGGCACAAGCCTCGAGCCAACTAAGTTTGCACACTAGCGCGCACAGAGGCATGCAGGCTAACATTCACGAACGAGCACACACCTCCCACCCACGCACCCGCCCACCCACGCACGCACGCACGCACCCACTCGCACCCACTCACACCCACTCACACCAACGCACGCACGCACGCATGTACCGAAATATGCAAACAGTCGCCCAGCTTTTCTTCTTTTTTTTTGCGTAAAAGCTTCGCAGAATTGGCCGTTGCCCTTACTTAGCAGCGCTAATATGGAAGGGCAACGCGGCAGTTGCCCAGGTTCCGCTTCTACCCTCCACTCCATTCTTAGAGCAAATCGCTGTCAGGCCTACGACGTGGAAGGCGGGACTTGGGGATGTGCTGGTTTGCGCGTTTTAAATTCCATTGATGTCCTCCTGACCTACTGCCGAGCGCAACAAAGTAAGGGAGGTGGGTTTTGGGACGGACGGAGCCTCGATGAGAGAGGAGCTTTTATCACATTGACATGGCTTTGCCCCTTTCATGCCGAGGTCCTGAACGATTCATACTCGCCAGATGTGGGGTTTGAGCAACAGTTTCTCATATCATCATAATTACAATATATGTGTTTTTCCTTGAAGAAAAAAGGCCACAGGAAGTTCTCCCTCTCTCGTTTGCATGCGTTGCGGTTGACATACAAAAAGTACCTTGCCCTTCTCTTATTTGTTTATTCCTTTGACTTGGCGCCAGGTTACAACTACACGCCAGTTGGCAAAGTGACCGGCCTTTCCATCGACTGGAAGAAGTGCAACGCGCTTCAGGTTTTGGCAAAGACGCTCGGCCCAAGTTTACAGAGCAACACCGGCCCGGCTCGTTTTGAAGCGGGACATAGCGGGACTGGCATTTCCCAAAGGGTTAGGAACTCGAAGCTGAAGACAAACTCTCTCTCTCTCTCTCTCTCTGGGCATGCCTTCCTGTCCCCTAACATGAAACCTGACTGAGCCTTTGCTGGGTTCCTGCCTTTTGCACTCTAGCAGTCCCTGAACCGAGAGATGTCATTCATTGGCCATATTGCTGGACCTGCCTGAATTCATTGATCACCTGCCGGAAGTGTATGTTGTTCGCTGTCACTCGCGGCTGTGGTTTTGAGCTAGCAGAGACGCTACGAGTTGTTCTCTTGCACTTGCTGTTTTCGCCCATTGAGAACATGCTTCATGCTCAATTTTGCGTGCGCATGCTTTTCAATTTACACCTTTCCCTGAAGCAACTGAAAGAGCCCCGGCGATCCACAAGTTGCGCAAGTGAGGCAAGTGAGAACATAACTGGAGGAACACGGACAAGGGCAGCACCCCAAGGATCGGCTGCATGTGCAACGAGTCGCGGCTCGTCGTGGACGACGACGACAAGTTCATCCGCAACGGAGAGCCCACCGAGGCACCACCGGGCGTTCCCATGCTGGCGAGTGGGCTCGCAAAACGAGTCGCGAGGATTTGCTGCGAGTCGGAGTTGTAGCTTCAACTAGTCTGACTTGTTGAAGCCGTGTGCGGGCGCTAGATCATTCAAGCACTAGAGCACACGCTCGATATGCGGTGGCCGTACAGACGTGATGAGCCCAAATGCATGGCAAAAGTGATATTTGCAATCACGCATGGCCATGGAGTGCCATTAATTTGTCAAACACTAGGTCCCCCAGTATTGCCCTTTTACCCTTTTTTGGGGGAGGGTTCCCCTACTGAAATAGACTACAGCAACAAGGGTACCCTTATTCTAGCCTCTCTACTAACGATGCGCAAGGCAGCCATCCGCGTTCTGGTGGAGAAGCTGGGCTGCCCGGATGAAGCACTCAACAAGCGATGCTTGCAGAAGGAGAAGAGGCGGGACATCCGGGGCGGAACGGGTGCCGGGGGGGGGTGCCTGCGTTGTGCGCTTCGCTTGCAGGATGTTTGTTTGGCGCCGCCAGGTGGTGGAGGGATTCGGGTGGGAAAATCGCCGAACCGGTGCTTATGACTTGTGGCCCTTGTAGAGGCAGTGCTTTTTGCATGTGTCAGTGAAATACCAAAGTGGAACAGGCCTGAAATAGACCTCACATGCACCAACCACGCATCAACGGCTACCCTACGCATATGTACATTTCATTAGGTTGGTGTGATTGATTGGTGAGACAGTTTCCCAACTTGCAGGGTGTTAGGGATCGGAAGGTGGGGACGGGACAGGCAACTGCAGGATGAATCAGCTTGGGAACCTATGCGCCATTGTGCGCCTAGAGTCGCCAAAATGCGCGTGGATTGAGTATTTGCGGCTTTACTTGTTGACTCAGAGCCAACAGTGTTAGCACTATTCCAAGCAGCTTGCAAAATTATGTGCAGGCAGGTTACCCCGGGTTGTCCTAGTATGTTGTTGGTGTCCCTGAACATCGGTGGGCACCTTTTTCGTTGCCTTGCTGAGTCAAGACCCTCTGGACGCAACGGCAGAGAGAGAGAGAGAGAGGTTACCCCAAGAAATACACTTGGGCCGCGCCATGGCATGCCTTTGGCTACTGTTGTGGTTTTGAGTGCGAGTGTTTCCGAGTTGTTTGGCGTGACCTTTTGTTTGCTTGGCACCGCAGGCTGCACCCGCAGCCTTGCCAGGACCAGGGAAGATGCCATGGCCTTCTCCAACTATTGGGGGCAGGGCATGACAAAGAAGGCTGGTGCAAGCTTCGTGCAATGTGTCCCATATGGGTGTGGCTCATTTTTTTTGGAGCCAGGGTTACGCAGGTTTTAGTCTTTGGTTCCATTTTACGAAGGTGCCGTATTGGTCTCCATGTATTTGAGCCATTGCCATATTTTTGCACTTCCGTTGACTTCGCGTTGCGCGTTGGTTCGACCTGGCGCAGGCAGTCCTGGAATTCAGCAGGGACCGCAAGTCAATGAGTGGCTTGGATCTGATTGTTTGGGCTCCTGGTGACGGCCGTCCAAGCCAAAGCAGGGGCTAGCAACAGCAGAGTTTGCCAAAAGGGGGCAGGCACCGCAACAACAGGACCTGGCTTTAAAATTTGGTGAATCGATTCTTGACTATTAGGAAAAGCACAGCCATAAGGTCCTAAGGGGAGGCAAGTGTTTGGAGCTTGTAATGTATGTTGCCTAATTCAATCGGCCTACAAAGAGTTCCGCATAGTTTGGGCACTTATCTTGACTGCTATTGGGTTGGATCTTTAGACTTTAACATTTTGGTTGAAATCAAGTGGGGTTTTCCACTAAACCCCCCAAAAAGTCATTCACTTTTTGCCTCGGGGGGTCTCGCCAGCAACCAAGCATCGCTCTGAGGCGTTTTGTGGCACGACACAAAGGCCCAGAGCAACGTGCTCTTCGCCAAGGGTGCGCCCGAGATGCTCGTGAGGCGTATGGACGCCTCACGCCAAAGGGTCAGCGAGGAAGGGTTGGTCTCCAATGCAAATGCATTCTGCCGAAGTTTGATTGGATTTTCTCGCTTCCTGAGTTGATGAACTTTAAACTTTTTGGGAAGACCAGTGTAGTGGTAAATATTAAGTTTGAACTTTTTTTTGGGCCATCCACTCAGCAAGTGAGTTTTGGAAACGTAGTTATGTAAAAGGAAGGCTTTCCCTGCCCCATTGCCAAGTTCGGCGTTTGACTTCGCCGAGATGAAAGTTCCGGAAACAGGGAGCTTCTGATGTTTATATGCCGAACCATGTGACGCCTACTTGCAAATGCGATCCGGAACTGGAGCCCTGCTTGTTTGCAAAACATGTCCTTTGCCATTTGATGCATACTTCAACATACCTGGGCATGCCAGGGGTGTGCGCTACTCGTGGCGTACAAAACACGCCAGCTTTTTCATCGATTCTTTCCTGGCGCTGGGGATGCCCTGCCAAAGACCCACAGCCAGACCAATTTCAAAGATTGCAACATGTCTTCAGAGCGAAGATGTTTGTCTTATGTCCACTTCACTGCGGACATACGAAACACTTCACCTGTCAGCTTCCCTTGACCCAACGAGGAGCGAGGGCTCTAAGGCCTTGGCTTCCCTGGGTTCCAAGCCGCTTTAGATGGGAAAAGATTTAGACCCCTTTTGGGGAGAGGATATGGTATGAACATGAGGCCTCTCAGGGGTTCATTTGCCCAAGGGGTATGTAAAAGGGGTAACTAATGATGCACAACATATACAACCACCCTGGAAGGGCACCTCAAACAAGGACTGAGGGGCAATCCTCTTATGGAAGCCAAGCGTTGCGGAGGCGGTGTACCAAGATCATGCTCCCCAACGGTGAGGCACATTGGGATTCGCCGGTCGCGGGTTCCGTCAGAAGGCCACTTGCATTTTTGAGGCTCGTTAAACACACCCATGCAGCAACAGTGCGAAAGGATTCCTTTTGAAAGGGCAAGTTTTTGAGAGACCAGTCTGCCCAGGGACCAGTTTTTGAGGTCTGCTTTGCGGGGCATGTTTGGCACCAGTTTTTGTTGCCGGTTTGATCCCTTGGCTTTGGCAAAATCTTGGAGACACCTTGCGCGTGTGACCCTTGCGTGTGGCACCTGCGGGATGCTTGCCTCGATCCATTTGCCGGCCTGAAATCCTTAGGTGGCAAAGGCCCTAACTGTTATGAGCCCGGGAGAGGCAGGCCATCACATGCAAAAAACGGACATCAGCTGTTCCGGCCTGCATTTTTGTGTTTTTTCTTTGCAAAGGTGGAGCCTTTGACAGATGCGTGGCGAGACCGCATTGACAGCCGAAGCCTCGGTATATCTCGTCTCGGTGCACCTTTGGCTCAGTAAGTTTCCGTGGTTGCCCTCCCAAGATGTGGACATTTGGCTGCGGCTCAAAAACCCGGTCCCAAAATGGAACCCTGGCAAGTGGGAAACATGGACCAACACCTGCGGTTTGCCCCTCCGATCGTTTAATTTTGAGAACCGCACCCATACGGCTCGCTTCGTATGCCGGTCATTGGCTCCGGGCCGAGCAGCCTGAGTTTGCCTAGGCGAGCTGGTGACCATGGCCAAATCGGCACTCCGAACCATGGGCACCCTGGCGCTGACTGGTGGGATGGGTTTACCGGGTTTACCGGTTTAGACCGAACCCTCACACATGAAAAGCGCGGCCTTTGTTGATGGCAAGGTCCTGTTTTAGTCTCATGCTCAGCTGTGGCATGGGTAAACCGGTTGAATCCCTGGCTCTAGGCAAGGCCACCCACTGCATTGCCTTCAGGTGGCATAGAAAGTTGGCTTTGTTTCAAGCGAAGAATTCGTGTTCGTACCCGCGGGGCCGTGAACCCTGCTTTGTTTCTACTAAGAATTAAGTTGGTGGGGAAGGACTCGTAAAGCTTTACTTTCAACAGTGGGCCACTCTAGCTCTTGGTCTGCGAAGCAATCATGTCGCAGTGGGCTTCCCCTCGGAATGCGGTTCCAAAGTTTGTTTGTTTGTTGCTTTTTCGTTTTTTTTGTGGGAGCTGTCGAGTTCCTTCATCTTCTTGTTCGAGGGCAAATTTGCATCCACCTGTCCGAGGGCAAATGTGTTCCTGCTTGGTTCGTGACATTTGCCAGGGTTGCATTTCTCTTATCGGGTGAATTGCTTCAGGGATCTCAGGGTTGTTGTATTACACCCTTTGAATACACCCACTGGGTATTGACCCCAAAAACGGCACACATTTCTGGATAACACCGTGTTATTTTGAACCATTTTGGGTCATTTCCCAAGGGTGTAGTCCCAGGGTGTAATACAAAAACCCTCAGAAAACCGCGAAGAAGCTGAGGTATGGCAGTGAAGTCGGAGGACTGCGTGACGAAGCCTTGGGGCGTGTGGGGAAGGGCAAGAGGTTCTTGATGGAATAAGTTCGCCCGCCTTTCGAAGACAGAAGTTGGGCTGTTCCAAGGTATTCCGCTAGATTCTTACCTTCGGTTACGAAAGGAACCGGTCCCTTTTGTAACATAGTGGTTCTCGGGGAATATGGAAGTCATATTTGCCAACCCTCCATTTTGAACAGCCCAGACACCATCTATGCAGCGCCAGCTTTTTAGTTCTGTCCCCTTCCCTGCCCGACCAAGCAAGCCAATGGAACCACAGGACACAAAAAGCTGCGGGGCAAGCCCTGGATAGTAAATGGGAAATGCCTCCCGCTCTAAGCCTCCCTCGCCGGAGGTATATATAGATAATCCCGCTCCGGCCAAAAAAAAGCCCGTCCGAAGATCTCTGGCCGCGTGGTCCCTTTGGGCCCAGCCGTGGGGTTTCGCTTCCGCTTCGAGACGTGCCGAGGAGCTGGGGGATCTTCAGAGCTACGACGGGCCCGGTCATCCCGGCCACAAGCTGCTGGCGGATCCCGGCACCTTCGGAGAGATCGAGCAGGACGCTCGGCCCAAAAATTTGCGAAGCGCCTGTTGGGGGTTCGGCCCCACATGGGAACCAGTGGAAGGCCCAAATTTCGCGCCTTTTAGCGGTTCGGCTCCACCTGGGAACCGGCTTTGATGTGGAAAGTAAGAAGCCAGAAGCAACTCTTACAAGAGTTTCTTGAAACGAAGGGCCTTTTGGAGCTGCTCGACTCTGAGTTGAGGCAAGTCCACTCAACTCGCTGTCGGGGTGCAAACTTAGGTGAGGGCAGCTTACTCTGCTGCATTTTCTCACTACCGTTTTTTTTTTTTTTACATGCTCTTTCCTTGGGCTCGCATGTTGCCAGCCTCCAGGCCCCTCCCGGCAAGTCTGGTGGCTCTCCAATCGAACCCCCAGGCTGCCCTGGGCTCCCATCGGTCGATCCGCCGAATCGCCGAGCGAGCCGAGGGCATGACCTTCGTGGGCATGGTGGGCATCCTGGACCCGCCCCGGCCAGAGTGCAAGCCGGCGATCGAGGCCTGCCGTGTGGCCGGCATCAGCGCCCGGCAGCCCAGAGGGCAACCCAGACCCATCGGGTCACTGGGGGAGGGAAGGGCATAGGTCATAGCTCAATTTGTTGGTTTGTTTGTTTTTGGGCAGCTTTTTGTTGTTTTGTTTGTTTTTGGGCAGCTTTTTGTTGTTTTGTTTTGTTTTGTCTTGTTTGTTTGTTTGTTTGTTTGTTTGTTTGATTGTTTTCTGGCAGCTTGTTTTGTTTGTTTTTGGCATCTTTTTGCTGATTTCAGCTTGGTCTGCTGTTGGTCAGTCTCTTTTTGAGCCATATGTCACGGAGAATCCTGTTTTTTTTTCCCCGTGGTACACGCATCTGCTGACACCATGCAATGAAACTGCATCTCATGATGGACCACCGGCCAGGCTGACATGAGGAATGTTGCGGGGAGTTGCCGTGAGAGATGGCTCATGGCTCATGAGCTCAAAGATGCCGTCACTCGACCTTCACTTTACGGGCATGTCACAAATTGATCGTGGGCGCTTGTGGCAAGTGCTGACAGGTCGTCCATTTCCTTTTTGCTTCGCTCAGCATGTTGACCGACGAGGATACGAGGCTGATGAGTAGTCCCAACCTCCCTGGTAAATAGCCACGCTAGCCTGTGGAGCAGTTCCCGCAACGAGGTGATCATGATCACTGGCGACAACAAGACCACTGCAGAGGCCAAGCTCACGAGAGGAAAATGTGAAGCGCCTGTCACTTAGTCAAGAAAACTGGCGTTTGCAGCCTCTAATGCTGGCCGCAGCTGTGTTCTTCAGCACGGGTAGTGTTTTGCTTCACGCTCCTTTGATCTTTCCCAAGCTAGGAGCTAGTGCTGTTGGCTGCCGGCTGGCTGTAGTGCTTTCGACTTTGGTTCCGTGATCAAGGTTCGGGAGAATTGGCAGTAGAGATGTTCAATGGCCTTTGCAAAATGAGTCGGCAAAGGCGCCCTCAGGTGTCCGAACATACGGTTGTCAGGTCTATAGGTTGCGCCATGTTCACTCAGCTTTGGTGTCCGCTCACCTTCAGCCCCTGCCCTCTTCTGGCGCGGTCTACGCCAACCCTCCTGGGGGTTTGAGACATGTTTCACGTGTGTTGGCGTTTGGGAATTTCAG